TCGCCCAGGGCAGAGGAGGATCTCTGCCGGGGTCGCCCTCGAGAGCAGCCTCGCTGACTGCCGCCCTCAGGAGCCCGGCCTTTACCCTCCCCTGCGGACGATCGGCGAGCGAACCCACGCGATAAGCAAGTGTCATAAAAGGGGGTCGGTAGGTTCGTCACCTGGTCGCAGTTAACCGTCGGGGAAGGTGCGGAAGCCGCACATTGTCGCAGGGATACGGCGGACAGGTTTGGGGGAAAGGGGGGAGGGGGGTCGCTTTACCCTGCGCGACAAACCACCCACCAAGGCGCCGTTCTCGGCCAGGGCGGCGGCCGACAGCTGACGGCCGCACCCCAACTCGTCAGCATCAAGCCGCGAGGAGTTGGGCGTCTGACGTCACACACGCCGGCCGAGACTGGGCACTCCATGGCGGTGCGGGGGCTCGTCGCCCTGGACGCAGAGAAGGGTCTCTACCAGGGTGTTCTAAACGCAGTGTGTGGCGCGACGCTGCCCACCAATGCACCCCGGCCTTACCCGCCCCTGTCGCTGGGGGGAGGGTTTCTGCCTGGGGTGCCAAACGCAACGGCCACAACGAAGCCCAACTCGAGCACCCTGGCCTCACCCGGCTCGGCGCGAACGATCGGCGAGCCAGCCGCACTAAAACGAAAGAGACCAGGAGAAAAGGGCGAGGGGGGGGGGGCACATCGTTGATCGTCACGAACCTACTAGCCTACTAACTACCAGGGTGCTCTGCCCGGGCAGGGCGGCGGCTGTCGCTGCGGGCAGCCGATCCCCAACACGTCAGCACCACGAAGAAATCGCGAGGAGTTGAGCCCCTGACGGTTCAGAGACCGGCCTGGACGGAAGGCAACCTGGGTGTTCTAAACGCAATGTGTGGCGTGGCGCTGGCCCCCTGGGCATGGCATGGGCATGGCGGTGGAAGTGACCTCCGCACGAACCACAACAAGCAGGCGGACATCGATGAAGAGTACATATTGCAACCTGGAGCAGTAAGCGAATAAGCCCGCTGCGTGCCAAGTGCGATATACCGTACTCGGTGCGAGGACAGG